CGATCCGTATTTCTTTCTTCAGTATTTGCAACTTTATGTTTTTTTTTCCAGGGCGGCTTATTGGGCCTGCCCCAACCCCCTGTCTCGCCGGGGGACCATCGTGCACAGCTCTGTTTAGAGTCCCACGCTGGCACTAGGACGGTGATCAGCCGCTCCTAACATGGAAGCAATCTTTAAATTTCGCTTGAAGTACTCCTCACAATCACCTTTAAGGTGAACAAATATAGAATTCCACTGAGAACTCCTAAAAAATTCTGTAAATAGTTCAGGAAATCCGAGGGGATTTTTATTTATTTTTAATGTAGAATTTCTATCCATAGAATTCTCTTTATATTCGCCCCCTTTAGGAATTTTCACTGTAAAGGGTGATACGGTCAAAATTTGGTCAAGGGAAAACGCGTGTAAATCGGTGAAATCGTTTATTAAAAAAATCAAATTAAATTTCTTTTTCAAGTTCAATTAGTATAAAATTCAGGAAAAATATTCAGTTAGGCTTCCGCTTTTCTAAATCCGAATTGCCGGGCCTTACGCTTGACCCCTGCCATCAGATTTTGTACAGCCACCTTGTCCACCTTCTTCGCCGCAGAAAGCCAGTTTGCCTTGAACTGCTGCTCGCCATTAGCAGTTTGTTTGGTCTTCTTTAGGTTCCGCTTGACAATAGCCCAGTATTTCTCAATTGGGCGGAGCTCTGGCGTGTTGGGAGGGTTCTTGTCCTTGGGAACCACCTGCACGTTGTTGGCGGCGTACCACTCCATGGCCTTTTTACCGTAATGGCAAGATGCCAAATCCGGCCAAAACAGTACGGAACAACCGTGTTTCTTCAGGAAAGGCAGCAGACGTTTATTCAAACACTCTTTCACGTAAATTTCTTGGTTGACAGTCCCGGAAGCTATGAAAATGCTGCTTTTCAAGCCACAGGTACAGATGGCTTGCCAAACCAGATATTTCTTTGCGAACTTTGACAGTTTCATGTGCTTGAAAACATCTTCTACCTTTCCCCTTCCTTTTGCCGTATAAAACTCCTGTCCCGGAAGCTGCTTGTAGTCGGCTTTGACGTAGGTTTCGTCGTCCATTACCACGCAGTCAAACTTCGTCAGCATCGTCGTGTACAGCCTCCGGGATCGCGCTTTGGCCGTCGTATTTTGTTTATCATCGCGATTTGGAGTCACTACCTTCTTGTAAGTCGATAGTCCGGCTCGTTTTTTGGCTCGATGCACGGTTGTAGACGATACACCCAGCTTATTTGCGGCATCTCGGAGAGAGAGGTTAGGGTTTCGCTTGAAACTACCGGCAACTCTCTTTGTCGTCTCAGCGGCTTCCGGTTTTCGATTTCCCCCCGATCCAGACTTCCTGGCTGTCGACAAACGTTCCCCAAACACTTTAATTACATTTGTAACGGTTGATTTGGCAACTTTTAGCGATTTTGCCAACTTTGCGTGCGAGTAGCTCGGATTTTCGCGATGCGCGAGCAAAATTTTGATACGCTGCTCTTCTTGCTTGGACGGCATTTTGACAACTGAAGAGTGAATTCCAAAATCAAAATAGGAGCAACATTCTACACACACACACCTTCAAAATGAGGGGTGTTCAGGTTTTTTAAATGCAAAATTGAAAGAAATACGTCAAGTTGATATTGACCAAATTTTGACCGTATCACCCTTTAGTCCCACATTTGTAATGATCTTAATTAAGAATCTCAAAATAAGATCTCAGATCTCAAATAACTTAAGTTGAAAATTTCTAGAGCAGTTTCAAAGTTCAATATTTTTTTTAATTCAGCCTTATCTTATCTTTCTTTATTAAAGAGACTTTCAGCCATCGGCTGGTTCATCTCTGGCAACCCCAGAGGGTGTGCCCCAAATAACAGAGTTGATTATTTGGGGCCCCTGAAGGGGGTCCCCGGCTAGAAAGTGGGGCTCAGAAGAAGGTTTCCCTAATACAGAGTTTTTTTCAGAGTTCGGAGTTCAGGTTCAAACAATAGTACACATATAATAGCTGAGTAGTGTCACAGTAGTGTCAGTGTCGATAGCGGGTTGTTGGTGGTCGTGTCAGTCCTTGGGCTTAAATACTTTCATAAAGATTGGCGTCTTTAATAAAGCAGATGACTGCTGCTTCGGTTGATGGGTCATTCGATAGGGCGTTCCTTATGCTATTCGGTATACCGTAGAGACTTCTTATATTGCTGAACACTGGGCAATCTACCAAAATGTGTTCCACTGTCATGGTTAGGTTGCAAGTATCACAAGTTTTCCGGAAATTGGAGGAGCAGCCCATGTTGTGAGTTGCACGTGTGTGCCCGGAACGGAGACGAGACAAGATAATCTGGTCTTGTCGACTTGGAGTGTCCTGCCATTTGGAAGTCTCTCCTTTCACCTTCCGAGTAAAATATTGTCTTGTGGAAGCCCAGTCAAGGTTCCAGGCGTTGCGGATAATGAACCTGACCCATCGCTTAATGTCGGGACCGGGGACCTCTTTACTGAACAGTCTGCCAGAGCGGCCGGTAGCTGCCAGATGATCTGCTTCACAATTACCTCTAATGTCGCAGTGACCCGGTACCCAGAGGAAAATTGTATTGGGTGGTGATAGTTCTTGGATTCCCTGGATCCATGGATGCCTTGGGAACTGGGATTCTAGGGCAGAAAGGGCACTGGCTGAGTCTGATAAGATGCAAATGGGTTTGTTGGCGCTTATAGTAACAGCGTAGAGAATGGCCGCACTTTCCGCGGAGAAAACGGAGCATTGGTCAGGGAGCCGGAAAAAATGGCTCTCAGTAGGGTCTGCGATTCCAAATCCGACGTTTCCTCTAGCATTAGAGCCGTCCGTGTATCGGTGATGGTAGTCGTGATACTTAGTCCCTAGTATTTTGGCGACGTAAGCGCGCATCTCCGGAGAGTTGTCTCCGGTTTTGAAGCGCCGGGCTACAGAGAAATCGACGCTTCAAAGGGGGGAGTTTCTGATGGGCCAGGGTCTCAAGAAGTCTGTTCCCCTCTCTGAGGAGGCAGATCTATTCAGTTCCGGTTGTTTTCTCTAGGAAACTGATGCTCCTCGACGCTAGTGTTTCTGCCACCTGGTACCTGAATGGTAAAACTCCAAGCTCCACGCAAGCCGAGTCTGCGGGGGTAGAGGGGAGCAACCCTGCTACAGTGCGAATAGCTTTGTTGTAGGTGGGAGTCAGTCTGGCGATGAAGAGTTCAGCGGCTGGGCAAAAGAGCTCTATCCCATAGAAGATCCTGCTGTTTACTACGGCATTTGCGACCCTCAGAGTGAGTTCTCTATTGCTGCATCGATGCGGGCCGGAGAGGGTATGGATCAAGTTCAGTCATGTACGGCAATTGTTCCGGATCTCATTGAAGTGAGGGCCGAAGCTGAGTTTTCGATCCAGAAGTGCTCCGAGAATCCGAACATTTTACCGGAAAGGGATGGGAATACGCTCACATTTGATCGGATCTTGTATGAAGCGATGTGAAAAGCGGCATATGTGTGAAGTAATACTTTTCTCAGCTGACAACACAAACCCGGATTGAGACGCTCATCTATGGACGGAGGAGACTGCGGCCCGTAGCTTTCTGCGGAGAGCCTTTAGGGTAAGACCTACTGCCAAGAGTACATTGTCATAGGCATAGAAAAATATAAAGATCTCTTTTGGGAGTCCAACAAATACCCCGTTCATCGCGACCAAGAAGGTGGTGACCGCAATTACAGAGCCCTGCGGGACACCAGTTTCTTCCAAGCGAGTCGATGATCGATGGTTTCCTAATATTACCAGCGTAGAAAGTTTCTGATAAAACATTGAAAGTCTAGAAAACATTGCTTGGTACAAAGTGGTCAATTTAATATAGTAGAAAAAAGATGTTCGTCATCGCTGTAGTGAAAATTGTCTTAACAGTTCCCAAATAGAGAAGGCACGTGTACCCTCTCCTGGAGCCGCCAGTGGTCTCGAGAGCTGACTTCATTTGTAAGAGAGTTACCCCTATAGCCAATGGTATGTCTATGCACACAAATGAAAAGATGGTATATCTATCAAACTTAATAAATAACTACTGTGGAGGTGCTCAAAGGACACTGAGTTGAGGACAGGCATAAAGTTCCAGTTGGGTTCCTTGGGTTCTAACACACTTAAGTGATGATTTAGAATGGTCAATATGGTTTCCTATAGGGACTTCAAATGGGTACAATCGTTAATGGCGAAAATACGAGACGACACGATTTTCAATTAATCCAGTTTGTATTTCAACGCAATAAATGTTCCGACATCAATTGATTGTTGCAACGGATTCTAGAATCACCTCAATTCTAATAAAAAAAAAGTGACTCCTTCAATAAACATAGAAAATATTTCTCTAACTTAGCATGACACCAGCCATACACATACATTCAGAATTGAGCTGTAGTTTTCAAAATTGGAGAGCATAGTCCTCCCTGTTCGTTTTCTTACCTCCTTCAACTCTTGTATGGTTTCCTCTTTATTTTTCTCTCTCTCTCGTTATTCCACGTTATGTTTTGTCACTTCAATCTCACCAATCACCTGTTTTTCATTTCTTTTTTCTTTCAGCAAATTGATAAATTCTTGAAAGAGAGAAATGTTTTCAAAAAAAAAACAGAATGTACAGTTCAGAACAGGCCAGATATACAGTGTAGAGATAGGCCATCTCAGTTTGACAAGATGCAAGGAAGTTTAGGAAGTTCTAGAAAGCTAGGATGCAGGGAATTTGTTGCTCCAAGTACCTCTTTTCTTTTAAAAACAACAAGATAACAAACGACACGTGTAAAGATTTATCGTTTTCGAATAAAATGCCCCACGATTCCAGCGAAGAAGGCTCATTCGAGAGAAACATACCTATTCAATAAGATCCATTTTCACCAGAGAAATATTTTCTATGGTTCTGCTTGAATGTTCGTGTTCATCCTATTCTGCTTTCACTTTGACACTTTGGCAATAGTTTTGCGAGATCTCCTAGCACAATACAATTGGTGAATATATGACCCCACCTAATTTTTAGCTCCCCCACCGGCGGCACCGGAAGCCCCGAAAAAGATTCTGCTGAAAAAGCTGAAGAAGGAGGAGGAGAAAGCCGTCGGCAGTTCTTCCTATCTGAGCACCCTGTACGGACCGCCGAAGAAATCCCGTGCCCCACCGGAGGAAAAAGAAGAAATAATCCCGCTGGAACCGTACTACTACGGACAGTACGATCCACCCGGCGGTGAGGTGAAGGAAGGTGCCGAGCCGATCGACTTCAGCGTGACCTGCCCGGACTGCCCGACCACGTTCCGCAACAATGCCGACTTCCAGGATCATCTCTTCCGCCACGCCAATCCGATAACGGATGGACAGGTGCAGTGCCGCTACTGTTTGGAGAACTGGGCTACCGAGGATGCCCTCAAGAAGCATACTGTGCTGATCCATTCACTGGAGACTAAGAACTCCGTGGCTTCCAGCTTCAATTGCTTGATTTGTGAGGTAAGATTGAATAATACTTTTTGAGTTACAAATGCCCTTGATAATCCTCCGTATATCCTCAGCAACGTTTCGGTACAACGCAAATGTTGACAACGCACATGCAGAAGATTCATCTGCAGCTAGAGCTACCGTACAAGTGTGCCGGTTGCGATTATAAGAGTTCCTCTCACCATTTGACGATCGACCATTTCTACAAGAAGCACAACCGTTCCGGACTGATCCAGTGTCCGTTCTGTCTGAAGATGACTTTGGTCTGCAATGCCGAGGGACCGATCGCCGAGAATGTGAACGATTTCATGAAGCATCTCAAGATGCACTTCAACCGTACCCTCTCGAAGAAGTGTGGCAAGTGTGCGTTGAGTTTCATCACCCGTGGGGCGCTCAAGATGCACGGATTGTTCGGCCATGTCGTTGCAAAGCCCGGTCCGGCTTTGAAATCGATCACCAAATCGGTGACCAACATTCAGAAACCGAAGGTAATTGATTGATTATTGCTTCTGAAAACTAGTTGATGGCTCATTTTTTTTTTTTTTTCACCAGTCCAAGGCAGTAGTCCAGAAGGAGCTGACTACATTCAAAACAGTGGAGTCATTCGGCAGCTTGGTACTGAACATGCCGTGCGGTAAGATGTGTCTCGAGTGCGACAGTGACTTCGATGAGGACAGCCACATCATGTAAGTGAATCATTATCAAAACTAACGCCGTAGATCAACATTCTTACTTGAAATTTTTCGATTCCAGTGGAATGCTGAAGTGCATCAAGTGCACCTACAAGACGGCATGTCTTCCGTCGATGGTTGGCCATACGGCGTCGTGCAATCCGAATGCCATTTCCGATTATGCCGTCTCGCAACTGGAGCTTGAAATGCACTGCATCTGTGGTTTCTCGTCGTCAGATGGCAATGCTTTGGCGCGCCATCTGGTCACGTGTGATCGCAAGAGTGTCTACTCGACAGTTGAAGCCTGCCAGGAGAATACAGTTAAGCGAAATATGCTCGATATGCTTGGTTTAGTTCGTCGCGAGGATGAAGGCGGCGACGAAGCCGCTGAGACTCCAACACCATCCAGCTCTACGGTAGCTGATGGTGCTGAAGGGGAAGCTCAACCGGATCAACAAACTGGTGATTCCGGCAGTGGCAACACTTCGATTGCATACGATCCGTCCCAGTCGTTGTATAATATTGCCGGTACGGGCAATGAGCAGTTCAATACTCAGCTGTCGCTGGACGACCTAGGGCCGCCCTCGGTGTTGGCCCAGCAGCAGCAGGACACTGACCGCACTCCGCAGTTAAAGGACGACTATCAGTCGCTGGCTACGCCGAGGGTTCCCCACATGGATACCGATCAAGGGGAGTACGACCAACAAGAAGGCGGATTTTAAGCGGAATGGCTTCGGTAATTTTCCTATTATATTTCGACGAATGCAGTAGGTAGAGGTGAGGACTAAAAGAACTTCGACGATGTAGAGCGCGAATTGAAAATAACATAGATTTATCCACCCATTTATAGTGCGTATCGACGATAAAAAAAAAAACATATTTTATTTTATACATTCATATTCTCCAATATTATTAGAATTACATGGTTGATCGCTAGGAACAACCATACCGTCTTCTAAACTGAATAATCTATTATCCGTAGATATGTGAAAAAAAACGTTGAATGTGTTTCTCTGCTTCGAAGATATCACCGTCCTTACTTTGAAATTAAATTTATAGGAACAGTCGATTTGCTGGATGACCACGATGAAGAAGCAAGCGATGCTGAACAAGTTGAACCCAAGAGAAAGGCTACTCGAAAACAGAAGAACTTCCATGCTGTTCGAAAACCGTTTCTGCAAGCTGAAGTCGGATCTGTTGAAGCTACTTCCTTGAAAACAAAAAAGGAATCCCGCAGGATAATCACCATCCTCAACAGCCAACAACAACAACACAAAGTCAAGCTTCCTGAAATCAATTTGCCATCTTTTAGTGGCAAATTGCGCGAGTTATACCTTCCGGAGTTTGATTCATCAGAATGCTCAGTTGAACCCGACGGACAAATTCACGTACCTGAAGTCATCGCTTACGGGAGATGCTCTGAAGGAAATCAACGGATGAGGTTGTATCGAAGGTACATACTTCAAGATCGATACGAGAATAACAAACTAATTGTGAAGGCGTACCTGGATGCACTCTTTTCGCTAGAGCCAACCAAGAAGGAGTCATACGATGGATTGAACCATCTCATCAGTTAGTTCGAAAAGAACCTGCAGATCCAAGAACAAACTGCCGAATGGAGCATTATTCTTGCGTACATGATGCGCTCTAGATTAGATACAGCAACATTGCGTTTATGGGAAGCTCATCACAACAGTAAAGAAGTGCCAACGTTCCAGAAATTGATGACTTTCCTGCGTAATCAGTGTTCGGTATTACAATGAATTGCCCCACTGAACCCAACGACAGCTACAGCCACACCCACAACAACCGAACCGATACACCCACCAACACTGAAAACTCACAAAGCTCAAACACACAGTCAACACGTCAAGCATCCACAGGTTAAAATTATGTTGCAATTCTCAAAACGGGAGCGGGACGTTTCGCCATTTTCTACGACTTTGAACTTTTCTCAAAGCTCAGTAAATTTTGAAATCAGTCTCGAAAAAAGGTTAAGAACGTTCGATTTTTTCCAACCTGGCAAGCTATTCAAATGTAATGCCTCATTCTTTTGAACATGAGCAGTTCTTTTGAGTTGTACTGATTTCAGAAATTTTTAAATAATAGATATTTTTGATTTATAGGTATGCTTCCTTATTACTACTATTACTATTAGTACTGATTTCGAAATTTGTATATTGATTCATGATTAAAATTCGACGACACCTTCTTAAGTAGATGTTGGACTAATTTTCCTTCCTATCCCCTGCGATTGAAGGATGTGGCCACGTGTATAATGCGATGCTTGATTAGCAGATTTTGATGTGTGGGAAACACCACTAGTTCCAAGTGTTTTTTTCACGGCAACACACGATACTTTCTGCAAAATGTATTGGTTGACCATTATATAGCCCCCCACGATTTGTGCAATCGCTTATGCTATGCTATTCATGATTAAAATTCGGCAAAATGCCCTTTTCGGCGAAATGACACAGCCCCCCCCCCCCCACACCCCCCAACTACACACAACATTCTCTTGTCAACGGCACTCATTCGATTAAAAACCGTTTTTGAAACGTCATGCTAACTCGAGAATTGTTGGATTCTTGCTCCTAACATTGCTTGATGACCATGAGTTCTCGAACACCCACCCACCTATCTGTCTGTGCAAGGAATTGACTCATCACAGAGTGCATCAACGAAACGGGTCAGTGTAGACGTTGCTCCAAGAACGCCAGAAATTTCACCCTTGCCTACCGTTGCCTACTGCCAGCTTCAATCCGTCGGAATACTATTTGGATCTTTTGGCCAATGGACAGCTGAACTGGCTCACTAACGGGTACCCAGCAGTATGGAAGGAAAGCTTGGTAGTTCCCATCCCGAAAGCCGGGGTAGCCACCCGTGAAGTCAGCAAGTTCCGTCCAATAGCGCTAACATGTTGTATGGCCAAAGTCCTAGAGCGTATGGTCAATCGAAGACTGAAGCAACACCTCGAAACTGGAAATTTCCTTGATCACCGACAGCACGCTTTCCGACAAGGTTTCGGAACGTCCACCTGTTTCGCAACCCTATGGGGAAGTTCTCAAGAACGCCTACGACAGTGGTCTGCACACCGAGATAGTATCGCTCGACATATCGAAGGCCTTCAACAGAACGTGGACGCCCCTCGTCCTTAAGCAACTAATCGACTGGGGTCTTAACGGACCCATCGTTCACTTCATCCAGAACTTCTTGTATAGTCACAGTCGGCAACACCAAATCCCGGCTTTTCCCCGAGGAAACGGGTGTCCCACAAGGATCGGTTATCGCCGTTACCCTGCTCCTCGTGGCGATGAACGGAGTCTTCCGTCAACTACCGAAAAACATATATGTGTTCGTCTACACCGACGACATCCTCATCGTCACCACCGGACCCACGCCAGTACGTACAAGGATGAGAGCCCAAGCGGCAGTCTCCGCCGTCGCCAGGTGGGCCCACTCAGTAGGCTTTAAATTATCAGCCTCTAAAAGCATCAGGTGCCATGTCTGCCCTTCTCAACACAGAATTAGCGGACCACCGATCAAAATCGACGATCAGTCCATACCGTCCGAGTTCTGGGAGTTCTCGTTGACCGATTCCTCAACTTTGAACAGCATTTCAGTGCAGTCAAGAAAAATTGCCGCAGCCGAGTGAATCTTATCCGGACCATTTCCCGACAGAATAAATCGAACAACCGCAGCATCCGTTTTCACGTGGCGAGTGCAATTATCGGGTTGGAGATGACCTGCATCGCAACGGATAAGCTTTTAGCTACGTTAGTACCAGTCTACAACACCTACGTCCGGATTGTCTCTGGCCTGCTGCCATCCACGAAGTAGGAATCCTGCCTTTCCGTTTCCATATAACCGCAGCTATCGCAACCAAAGCCGCTGCTTTCATCTCGAAGACATCCGGAAATCAAGGGGAACAGACTCCTCCGCACGGCTGCCAACGAAGATCTCCCCCCAGTGGCCAAGGTCCACTGACATGGAGACAAATGTTGGCAAACACCATTACCGAACATCGAAAGCCGGATTAAGGACAGGTTCAAAGCCGGAGACAATTCCGTGGCCATGAAAAGGAATGTAGCTGAAATGTTAGGAGAAAAATACCCCAAGCACACTCACCGATACACGGACGGATCTCGCTCTCGGTCCGGGGTCGGTATCGGTCTAGCCGGAAACATCACACCAACCAGCTGCAGCTTACCACCGCAATGATCTGTCTTCTCTGCTGAAGCTGCTGCTATCTTCATCGCTGCTACAACGCTCTCCGACCGACCGATCCTGGTCCTCACGGATTCGCACAGCGTCATACAAGCCCTAACATCCCAGGCAACTCTGAAGCTGACTTTCTGGCTGGGGCAGGACCATCTGCCCTTCGCTATACCAACGAAGTACCGTTACACGATCTCAAGCGCTGGATCGTGAGCAAAGTACGGGAAGCTTGGGACGCAGAGTGGGCTCAAATTCGCTCCCTCTTCATCAGACGGTTCAAAAGGACGACGAGAAAATGGACAGAACAGTTGAACCAGCGGGATCAGAAGATAGCGTCGCGTTTGACGACCGGTCACACCAAGATGTCGCACAATTTCGGTGGAACGCCGTTCCACAGGACTTGCGTCGGTTGTAGAACTCCAGCCTCAATCGAGCACATTCTATGCGCCCTCAGTATCAGAACCTGCGGGAATTCCACGGGCTTCCAAATAGCATACGCAACATGCTGGGTGATGATTCCTCCACACTGGCAGCAGTAATGCGCAGATGCTGCATTGTATTTTAAAGTTTAGTCTTTTTTAATTCCTTGCGGCTGTTGGGCCATCTTTGCCTGGTGAGGGCCCTCCCGGTTCCCCCGGCGTGGAGTGAACACTGTAAAAAACTACTCTTGGGGATCCTCCTTCTGAGGCCCCACCTTACATGGACGAGATGAACTAGCCAATGGCTAAAAATCTCAAAAATAAACAGCTAAAGGCAACGAAATCAAGGACCTATTATATTGCAGAATACTGTCTGGTCGAGTACCGAATATCCCAATCAACGGGTCACTTTCCTTTACTAATGTCTGCTATACTGTGGAGTTACATGAGCAGCTAACCAGATTCTGGGAAGTCGAAACCTGTTTATAGTTTATGACGGTAATAAGGATAAATGCTTCCTTTGCAAGACGGACGGGCCACCGAATGATTTCCTGTCCCAAGCGAAAGAATCAGAAGGAACCAGAGAAGCAACACCAGGACGAAGCAAAGCAGATACACAACGGAAAACAAAGCAGCAATAGTACGTATGCTGGTGTAGTGGCGGAATGTGCGTCCTTGGATAACAGCGACCAGATGTACTGGTGGTCGAAATGGACGCGACGACCCCGACAGCCGGGGAGATTAGTGGCGAACAAACATCTGATAACGGCATCCAGAAGAAACAGCAGAAAACCCCGGTTGAAAGAGGAAGATGAACATATGCAGGAAAGGAAGAAGTTGCGAGCACGGGTGAGAGTCGCTAAGTCGCCGCCCAGGATGAAGAACTCGCAATATAATGTATTTTAATACAATTGAGGGGGTTAGAAGGAAAGGGGTGTAAGTGATTGATTCTCTTTATCGTCCATCTCGTTTCGTTTCTGCAAACACATTGCTTGATTCGTGTGCCATTCTGGATGCTAGATGAGAACCTCCTTTATCAAACTATGTGGCAGAAATAGCGCAAAATCTGTTTATAAAGCTGTGCCTATCAAAAGAGATGTACCAATCCTGAACTAGATTGAAGACCAGAAAAGAAAATTCAAGCTGAACATTGCATTAGGTCCTAAGTAACATTGACAGATTCTCTTCGTCGACTCTCTCTTTGCATCACCACGGCCATTTAATGATATTCCTAGGTATGTTCAGCACACATCTTTTTATCTAGCATCCAATACTACAAACACAACAAGAAACGATTATGTGCTCAAGTTATTAACGAAAGAGAAAGTCGACGAAGAGAATCGATCAATGTTACTTAGGCCCCCTTATTCTGCGAGTCACGTGACTCTCTCTCACCGGTGAGGTGACAATTGTCACCTCACCGGTGAGAGAGAGTCACGTGACTCGCAGAATAAGGGGGAGGACCTAATGCAATGTTCAGCTTGAATTGATCCTGCACACCCACGTCGAAAACCTGAATGTCCCCAGCAAATTTAAGTTTGTTTCCGGCGGAAACTGATCATCTGGCAAGATTACATTCTTCTTATGTCAAATCAAACCCGAGAAACACCCCCCCTTATTCTGCGAGTCACGTGACTCTCTCTCACCGGTGAGGTGACAATAGTCACCTCGTGTGAGGTGACTCTCCATTTGATTTACATGGAGAGTCACCTCACACGAGGTGACAATTGTCACCTCACCGGTGACAGAGAGTCACGTGACTCGCAGAATAAGGGGGACCTTGTTTTATGTGTCCGAATTCGAAGCGGACCAGACTTTACCAAATAACGAAATCGATAGTGAGCATGCATAAGGCTGAATATGTGATGATCGATTCTCTCTTTGCATTGCTGCAGTTAAGTGAAACAATTTTCTAGAATTTGTTCAATGCAGAGTTGTAACAGGTTGTATTGGCTATCAAAAGCAACAGCAAACGTAGGTGGGTCGACCCCACATTATGGAAGGGTGGAAGTGTTATCTTCTGTAAGATTGAAATCCGGTAGGACATTGTAGCAGATGTAGACGCAGGCACTCAGCGGCGGAATCTCAACAGAGGAACTAAATCAAGCAAGTCGACAGATATAGACAGGCCTAGGGAAGGCTATAGAGTCACTGAAGCCTATTCTACGCCGCGAGTGAGATGAGGTGATGCAGAACGTGGGGGAGTAATTTGAGAGTCGCCAAAACGCTCGCATTAGAAGCGTAAGAAGCCTAGAAGAATTAAAATGTGAGCGAAGACATCGATCGGAGTAAATCGAGTAAGCATTAGAACGTCTCTTGAGCATCGTGATATCTATGAGTAACTTGCCACAGGTTTGCTTATCAACTATCTTACAAATTAGGAGCTTTATTAAACATCATCTGAGGCGTCGTTACAGTAATCTATTGAAACGGAAGAATATTCAACATTGTGGTAGTTCTACCACCGTTTACCACCGCCGCCGCCCCCACCTCCACCGCCACGATTGCCACTGCAAAATAAGATTGATTAGTAGAACATGAACCTTCATCAGAACAAAATTTATCATTCTTACCGGAAGCCTCCGCCGCCTCCTCGTCCACCGAAGCCACCTCCTCCTCGGCCACCGAAACCGCCACCTCCTCGTCCGCCGCCTGGACCACCGCGACCACCACGGAAGCCTCCTCGTCCACCACCGCCTCCACGGCCACCACCAGGTTTACCGACTCGACCGCCCGGTTTCTTATTGTTATCAGGCAGGAACCTCGCCAATGGCAGCAGTTTAGCAGAATCGATAAACAGTTTCTGCTTCGGTTGGAATCCGTCCGGTTTCATGTTTTCCATCAACTTGATCGACACGTAGAAATCCCGCAGATGGCCGAAAATTTCGTCCACCTTGCCGATCTGCTTCTCGCCCTCCATGTAGATCGGGGCATTGAAGAAGGGAACATTTTCAACTTCTACCTTGGCTACCAGGTCTTCCTGGCAAGGGTAATCGTAGTACCCCAGAGGGACGACATTCTTCGGCCCTTCGTCTCTTCCGAAACCACCGCGGCCACCGAAACCGCCTCGACCACCTCCACCGCGGCCACCGAAACCACGTCCTCCACGGAATCCACCACCTCCGCCACCACCACCACGGCCACCGAATCCGCCGCCGCCGCCTCCTCCACCGCGGCCTCCGAATCCACCACCACCACCGCCTCGTCCTCGGAAACTCATGATCGCTTAGTGGTTATACTGGTGCTACACAGGAAAGGATAAGCGATAAAATATTTAAATTAGTAACCAGTTCATAGTATATCGATATCTGTTCCCCAAACTCTCCTACAAATGTATGGGTGTAGTGGTGACATTAAGCAGGTATGCGCTGGGTATGAGAAGTAAACACAAGTTGAGGTTATAGCTGCTACAACGCTTTGATATTTTTAAATTAATTTACCAATAAAACAATTAACAAAATAAGGAATGATTGGAAATATCAAATGAACATTCTTGATGCAACAATGATAGCTAATGTGGACAGGAAAGGTTATTTCGACTTTCCTATCACGCGACCCCTACAACAAACAGCTCCCGGCTGTCGGCTGTGAACTTTGTCAAATCGAACTATTCGCCGTACTTACATCGGAACTTATATGTAACAATAACGTTGCCCACTGCAGGACAATTATTAGTCAATGTTTCGGCACAATTAACTGAAAAAATAACACTAATTTCAAGCAAAATTCACCCAAAAATCACTATTTGCTGGCTAGCGAGCTAAGCACATGTTTACAACGCACACTATCGCTGCTCGCTCTGCCGTTCCCGGGAGCGGAGGAGTGACAGCTCACGAGACAGTTTGAGTTGACAGCCGAGGGGTGAATCAGAAATCGAGCAGTTTATATGAACTCAAACAAAATCCAAAAACGCGCTTCTTGCGGGTAATCGTTTTCGCGAAAGTTATAATAAATTGCATTTTTTAAGTTAAATTAAGTATTACTTCAGTGCTTTGTGAAGTCTAGCTGATTATTAATCATGGCAGAAGAGGAACAGGTGAGACTTTTGGTGAAGCAGTGTCATTTAAACGAGTAATGTTGATTCGTGGATTTTTGTTTACAGATGCCCATCATTCCGGTGAAGGAACCGCTAGATCTGATCCGGCTCAGCTTGGACGAGAAGATCTACGTCAAGATGCGGAATGAGCGAGAGCTTCGGGGGCGGTTGCATGTAAGTTGTTGACCGTTGTCTATGGTGGGAAGGTTTGTTATTAATTTTACGATTCTAGGCTTTCGATCAACATCTGAACATGGTGCTGGGCGACGCAGAGGAAACCGTGACAACCGTGGAGATCGACGAGGAAACCTACGAAGAAGTGTATAAAACTACCAAACGTACCATTCCAATGCTGTTCGTGCGAGGAGACGGCGTCATCCTCGTCTCGCCGCCGATGCGAGTTGGTAGCTAAGAATTTCGGCACAAGTAAGAATATTCTTTTACATTAATAAATTGAGGTCAACAATTGATTAAGCTGTATAATTGCTAGTGTGAGGATACGTTACTTATTAGATTTCCGAAATCATTTTCACTCCTTTGAGCCCGGCCAATATATTGCACGCCGTGATGCGAGACATTTCCGTGCGAGTCTCGATGTCGGCACTGCCAATGTGCGGAAGAATGACGACGTTGTTCATCTGCAGCAATGGACTATCCAGTGGCAGTGGTTCCGGCGTAGTTACGTCCAGTCCGGCAGCTTGAATCTTCCCCGCCTTCAGAGCATGGATCAGATCGTGCTGTTCGACGATACCACCGCGACTGGTGTTGATGAGTATGGTCGATGGTTTCATTCGTGAGAAGACGGAATCATTGAACAGGTTGGCCGTTTCCATATTGTACGAACAGGCAATGATAATAAAGTCGCTGGTCTCGATCAGTTCGTCGAAAGGAACTTGCGATGCGCCTATGTCGTCAGCTGTCAGACACTTGTCCGACCGGTTGGTGAACTGTATGCGAGCGGGTTTGAAAGGAACTATGCGCTTAGCTATCTCTTGCCCGATCCGACCAAAGCCGAAGATTCCTACAACGGAATTTTTGATGCTGGTACCGCACATCCACATTGGGGACCAACTTTTCCAGCCACCGGTGTGAGCTTCTCTGTTCGCTTCGATAAGCCGACGGGACGTGGCTAGAAGAAGCGCTACAGTCAGCTCTGCAGTGGCATCCGTTAGGACTTCCGGAGTGTAGCCGATTCGAATGCCTCGATCGCGGCATTCTTTCACATCGATGTGGTCTAAGCTGAGAAAGAATAGAATTATCAAACTCCTACATAAACTCAGATCCAATCGAAACTCACCCCACCGAGATGGTAGCCACAACCTTCAAGCTTGGCCCGGCCTGATCTAGCAGTTCCTTGTCGATGCGATCGTTCAACGAACAGAAGATGGCATCCTTCCCGGCGACGTTCTTCAGAAACTCATCTTTAGGAACCGGGTACGCTTCGTCCCAGATCGAAAGGTCGCATCTACGGGAAACAAAATATGAGAGTCAAGCACACAACATGCTTGAAAAAAAAAAATACTCACTCCTCCTTCAGCAGATCCAATCCGATGCGTGCGTAATCATTTCTGGTGACGTAGACCTTCGGTTTCATGTCGAGGTAACAATTTGTCCGGGTACTGATAATCAGGGGCACAAACAGTTGCTGCTGATGGAGCTGATGACCGAGATGCGGCGGATTGCAGTGGGCAGCCGTAACACTTTTGAGTAAACCGATGGACACTCTCCGCAAGCTGTTTCCTCTGGAAAAGATATTCATTCTATGTATACACAAGTTGCTGGTATTGTTTTTGTTATTGGTATGAATGAGTATAGTACTCTTGCTGGAAATTCTCTTGTCGTCGCGAATCCGTTTATTTATTTGCGATAACGGTATATAGAGTTTTGACAGCGCGGCTGCGCTGAGTACATAAGAAACTACGGTGGCGTGAGCGTGAGAAAATCGGTTTGTTTAGATAGCTAGTTATCTCTTTCAAACTTATGTAAGGTGCATCGCAGCAATCATAAACATTCAATTCGAGCAGACGATTAGCTGTAAACTGCTCGAATGCATCTCTTTTCAGCACGCAGATTTGTTTTGACAAGCCGGTCTTCGCGTTCAGTGTCAGTGTTTTGAATGTTTCGCATCATCATCCGTAGTCTAGGAAGCACCAGAACGATGTCCAGTAAGTCGAAAGGGGCCAAAGGTGGCAAAAATGCTGCCGGTAGCGTTAAGGGAACGTTGGTGGCGGCCGCACCACAGGGACCAGTATACGTGGATCCCAAAACGGGAAACCTGCTGATCAAGATTCAAGCGAAACCCGGTTCCAAATTCAACGGAATCACAGACATTGGTGACGAAGGCGTAGGTGTTCAAATTGGTAAGTGCTTTATTCTATTAAATCCCTTGAAACTGTTAACCCCGGTTGGTCCTAGATTTCGACAGAGCTTAAACATTTGAGTCTCGACAATGAATTTTATTAAAATGCAATTGTTGGCTTACATTGCATTTATTGATTGATTTACTTGTATTACCTATTTATGTTCAATTTATTATGCGTATACCATGCAATGTCTTAATTGTAATATTTTATGAAAATATATAGGTTTTTCACGCCATTTTCAATCAAGTATGATAACTTAAAAAGGCTTTCCCAAATACCATATTTCATTTAGACTTAAAGTCAGATGGAATTATAATGAATAAATAAATTTAATATATAGCTCGATTTAATGTAACCTCATGCGCCTCATGAGTGTTTATAAAATGCATAGAATTTTGATTAAAGTGGAGCTATTTCAGAATAATTTTGATTGGATCAACCGATAGTCATAATCACCCCACCAGATATCCGGATTCATCGGAAAAGCGGTTTTCGATCCTAAGACATGGCGTTTTTTTACAAAAGGTTTTGAAACCTCCAAATTTTGATTTTTGTTCGTTATTAAAGGGATTTTCAGCCTTGGGTTGGTTCGTCTCTGGGAATCCCAGATGGGGATTCCCCTATTTAAGGGGGGGGGGGGGGGAATTCCAGAGGAAAATTACCCTAACAACATAGTTTGGATCCCAGAGGATATTTCCGAAAAGGACATGGGGCCCCAGAAACAGAGTTTTTAGCTACGGAGTTTTTATTTTGGTGGCCCTGGAAGGGAACATCCGAAAAAAGAATTCCGTTTTCGTTGCATTGGTCTTTATAGTTGCTGATTATGGTAGTTAGTTGTGAGATTCAGGTTCCGAGTGTGATCTGGTATGGTGGTGATGGTGAGTTAGGTGATCAGATTAGATCGAACAGCCCAGGAATGGTCCGTCTCCCTTGTAGTTGTGGGAGCTGTTTGTATGATGTGTTCGAAGTCGGGATACTATGACCTGCTCTCGATGTAACGGTGGGTCCGCCCACTTGGAAATGCCTCTTTCATTTTTCTGATATCAGGGGTTTCACTGGCCGCCCAATCGCGAGCCCAAGATTTTTGATACCCATTTTTTGAGGTCCGGACCAGATACAATTCGCGCGTACTTGCCCATGCAACGACCGGAGTTGGCTAGTTTGTCCGTTTTTACGTTACCATGGATTCCGCAGTTTCCCGGTATCCACACGACTGTGTTGTTTGGCGCGTGTTCCTGTAATTCCTGGATCCAAGTTCGATTACCACACTAGTCGAGTTAGTGAAGATAACTATTGGTCGGTCGTCGGGAATGGTGTTCGAGTACCGCTTGTGCCACCGCTGAAGGATTGACATCAGCTCTGAATTGGTGTTTGATTGTGTGGTCGGTCAGAATCTTCGGCTTGTTCCAACCCCTCGCTCCAACCCAGTAAAACTTGGATATTGGGGGGAGAGTCGGGTTGGATGCTTCCCTGAGTGAATTGTTCGCCTCTTTGGAGAGGGAGGGAATCTTCCTCGTCGTCTCCTGATGTCTGCTGGTAAAGTCCGGTGGCTCGTAGGCAGATAGTTTTGGAGATGAAGCGATCAAAAGAAGGCAGTCCTCCTTCGATGCAAGCAGCTATTCCGGGAGTACCTGGCAAAAGACCCGAACAGATTAGGAGAGATTGTCGATAGACCGGCGCTAGCTTTTCGATCAATCGGGGCTTGGCAAGGAACGTAGCTTCGATTCCGTAGGTTAGGCGTGAGTTGATGATGGCTTTCGTCACGTTCAGTCGGGATCTTCGGTTGGCATTTGGATGTCGTCCCGCTAGAGTTTTGAGCAGGTTGATACGCTGTTTGCATCGGTTTTTGACATCGTTGAAGTGTGTGTCGAAGGTGAGATGTCGGTCAAAGCAGACCCCGAGGATTCGTATCGTTTTCCGAAACGGAATTGGGTCTTCTTTGATGCAGACTTTGGTGGTGAGGACTTGGTGTTTTATCGGACAGATGTGGGTGAATCCGCTCTTAGTAGCGGACAGGTGGAAGCCGGCCGACGAGGTCCATGTCGATACTTAGGTGATGGCCTGAATAAGCAGTGCCTTCACCGTTTTCTTGACAGCTATTAGGAGGATGTCGTTCGCGTAGACGAAAATGACGATTCCAACTGGTAACCGCGTGAAGACATCATTTATCTGATTGTGGAAAAGGGTAACGGCGATTACGGACCCCTGTGTTACCCCTGTTTCCTCCTCGAAAGTTTTGGATCGGCAGTTTCCAAACGTGACTTGGAAGGTACGTTTGCACAAAAAGTTCTGGATAAATTTTAGGATGTGTCCCTTGAGTCCCCATTTCTTCAGCTGGTCAAGTACTCCCGGCATCCATGCCCGGTTGTAGGCTTCGGATAGTTCGAGAGTGACCAGTTCTGCGTTCTGCGTTCTTCTTATTCTTCATAGTTATTACGTCCCAACTGGAACTTTGCTTCTGTCTTCAACTTTCATTTCGTCTACTGTTTTGGGACTGCCTTCGTTACTTGTGAAAAAATTAATCATATTGTTCCAGTATCGAAGCACCCCCCGACTTTGCGAGCGCCGTATTTTTACCTTCGGGTTGAACCAATTTTCTACTTCCGGAAAAAAGAATTTGAAATGTCCAGTGAGTTTAGTTTTGTTCGAGGGGGGCGACACATCTAAATCTCAAGTTTAGATGCTCAAACAATCTTACACTAGCGAATCAATCTTCGAAAAATCTTCTTTCATTTGTCGCATCTACTTGCATCGCTCATCATCTTTTTGCAGGAAATCTTCAGAATCGTCATCAATCTTCTTTCTATCTACTCAGCGTGCGCGCAGCTAGCCACAGCATAACACATTTTTTTCTGCATCGTAGATAGAGTCGTCCCCCTCGGTTTTGTTTCATTCGTCCAGAATAATAAACGTGTTTTGAAATCGTAGTAAAAAAAATAAGTATATTTTCGATTTCCGAAAGGCAGTCCAAGCTTTAAATCCGCAAAAGTACAGTTCGCTAATACCCAAACATTGGTCCTTCTAACCGGATAATGTCGGACCTGCAAAAGCTGATTAGCCGGAGGAACGCCTTCATGGCTCAAATCAATGTAGAGCTTTCAGTCGCGGACAACATCAAAGAGCGGAATCCGTCCCAAAGTGAGGTTAGGGACCGACTGAATCAGCTAAACGAGCTTGCTGCTAGTTTTCGGGAAACGCAGAGCTCCATCGAGGAGAAACAGGAGGACCCAGTAGCCACCGCATCGGTGCATTCGGTCAGGGAGGAGTTTTTCGGAATGTTCTACAGAGTGAAGGATATTTTCGAAAGTCATCTGGATGAGGTTGGATCTTCCGTGAGTCAGCAAACTGTTGCCAATACGGCCGATTGGAAGGAGGCACTTCATCTGCTCATCGAGACGCAGAGGAAGCTATTGTTGGATCAGGCGATGACAGCAAAAACCGTCGAAAATCTGTCGAAGTTTCCGATTGCTGCTATCAAACTTCCCGACGGAGAACAGGTGTCGAATGGTGCACCCCAGTTGAATGTTCGGTTGCCTGCCATCCAAATTCAGCCATTCAATGGTGAACGTAAACAGTGGATGACGTTTAAGGACCTCTACGTGTCAACAATCCACAATCGGGCTGACATTACAGATGCGCTGAAAATGCAATACCTCTTTTCCTATCTGGATGGAGACGCCAAACGCTTAGTCAACAAGCTCCCTATCTCGGGTGTGAATTACGATAAAGCGTGGGAGACACTGGTCAACCACTACGATAAAAAGCGTTTCACAGTGTTCTCGTTGGTTCACGAATTCATGGCCCAACCGGCCGTAAGCCAGCATCGCCGCAGTCGTTGAGCAGACTAGTTACAACATCGGACGAGATTGTGCAACAGCTGGATGCTTTGGGGCAGGAGTTCAAAAGCCGAGATCCGTGGCTAATCCATCTCATCCTGGAGAAGCTGGACAAGGACACACGAGCCAGTTGGTCTCAAGAAGTAGTGGAGATTGAGAACCCAACATTCGAGGAACTGCTGGCGTTTCTCAAAAAGCGCTGTGAGATGATCGAAACTTGTTCTGCGTTCGTGAAGAAACCAGTGAATGAACCGAAGAAGGAAGTACAAAGATCGGTGCCAATCTCGACGAAGCTGAAGACGCTGTATACGTCAAAAACGGACAAAAAGTGCGCGAAGTGCTCCAGTGAGCACAATACGTATCAGTGTGAAGAATTCAAAAATATGAGTGTGAAGGACAGACGTGAACTAGTGCAAAAGGCCAAACTGTGTTTCAATTGCTTACGGCCATTCCATTCGGTGAAGTCGTGTACGTCGAAGTCTGTGTGCCACAACTCCGACTGCAAGCAACGGCACCATACGCTGCTGTGTCCTGTGGTGAAGAAGGCTGACAACCGGAAGCAGAACAACAAGAAGATTCGGCGGTGGCCCCTGCAAAGGAAGAAAGTGCCATTGTCTCACTGGCGGTTGAAGTTCCGGAGAACAAGCAAAAATCTATCCCGTTGCTGCCAACGGCTGTTGTCAAGGTGCAAAAGGTGGATGGCGATTTTATGACAGCGAGAGTTCTCATCGATTCCGGTTCTCAAGCGTCGTTGGTGACAGAATCCTGTGTCCGAAAATTGCAACTACCACGACGGAACGGCAAGCTAGTAGTCAACGGTCTGGGTCAACAAGAGGTCGGAACGACACGCGGTGTGGTGACATTGCGCCTTGCATCTCGGTTCAAGGACACCCTAGTCTTGAACATTGAGGCCTACGTTCTTGGCAAACTGACTACCACAATACCGTCTCAGCCGTTCGATGTGGATAACATAAAGCTTCTAAATCAACTGGACGGGTAGGCGGATCCGGAATTCAATCAACCAGGCGTGATAGACATCATTCTGGGAGCAGACGTTTTTCTTGCACTCTTGGAGGGAGATCAAGTCAAAAATGAGAGCGGCCAAACAGTGGCCCAACGGACGATTTTCGGATGGATCGTAGCAGGCCGCTACGACGCTGC